ACAGCAAAGGGAACCCCTGACACCTCCGAGCACACGTGTGCCCTGCCCCGGGGCAAGGCAGGACTGCAGAGCAGGGCACAGCAAAGGGAACCCCTGACACCTCCGAGCACACGTGTGCCCTGCCCCGGGGCAAGGCAGGACTGCAGAGCAGGGCACAGCAAAGGGAAGCCCTGACACCTCTGAGCACACGTGTGCCCTGCCCCGGGGCAAGGCAGGACTGCAGAGCAGGGCACAGCAGGACCCTCTGGCAGCAGCACAGAGCTGTGTTACAGCACTGTCAGCACGTCATCTTTGCTTCTCCTGAGCAGCAGCTGGAGGACAAGCCCTCACATTCTGGGCTCCCCCACTTTGTCCTGACGCTACAATTTTCAGCTCGACCTGGATGAACTCACCTGATTTTAGGAGAGACATTTTCTGCAGGTTGGGTGGCATGTGTTTTAGGGCCACGTTTTTCAGGTAAGCCTCTGTGTTCGCCATGTACCTGAAACAAACCATTGGAGCACTGACTGGTTTAATGGAACACAAACCTGCAGAGAGACTGCTGCTGCTGCCAGCAAGCAACAGCTCCTGGTCCCACAGGCACAGCCAGAGACAGGCCCCTTGGCTTACCCTGGTAACTAACTGACTCAGGGTTATTTTGTTTCAGCTCTCTTTTCTTGCCCCTAAGGAAAACCTCCTGGTAAAACACACTGATCCTTACTTCAGACCTGTCTAAGGCTCTCAGCCTCAAGAACTGCTCAGCATAACACACAGGGGAGTTCTGTAATCTACAAAAAGGGAGGAAGATGCATCGAAAACCTACTCACTCTTTAGCAAAAGCAAACTCCTCTGGTGACAGGATGGAGGGCTCCCCTTCAGCTCGAGACTTCTCCTTCTCCAGGATGTGGGGGAAAAACTTCTCTATCTGAAATTGGAATAAAATCCAAAAGAACGATACAGACCTCTCCCAAGAGTTCAGTGCCCAAATCCCCACTCTCCATTGGCTTCCCCTACAAGCAGCTGCATGAGCAGCCACAGGCCAGCCCAAATCCCTGCTCCTGAACAAACTGTGACACCAGCACGGCTGTACAACCACATGTGCAATGGCAGGGCTCAGGCAGAACGGGCCAGCAGTCACCTGTGCCACTCTGGGCTTAGGTGAAGGAAACAACACTCACAGCATTGTGACCAACACTACTGTGATGTCCCTTCACCACCACAGGGGGCTGTGCCCAAAGAATCCATTCCTTTGGCTGCACTTCGGAGAACAGGGAGAGAACATGCTTATAACTGTCTTGCTGAAGGAAGAGGCCTTGCGTGGGTAAGAATCCCTCCTTTTGAGCAGTGCCCCTTTCTCCCCTCTGGGCTGCAGAGCCAGTGTTACCTTCACCAGCCGACACCTCAAGTAGCTGCTGAGCACGAAGCGGATCCTCTCGATCTCCATGCGGTGCACGCTCACCTTCAGGTCTCCTCTCTTTGCCCGCTTCAGGTTTGCTTCCTGCAGGGAAAAGCCAAGAGACATCGAGTGGCTGAAATGTCAAACAGCAAGAAACACAGAGCAAAACATGTTTTGTACACAGAACCCATGGAATCAGACGGTGGCTGCCCTTGGTGACCCAAAGCACAGTGTTCTTGTACCCCTCAGCCCCTCCCCAGGGCAAGCTCAGAGAGGGTGCTCAGAGAGCCTTTGTCCCAGAGACAGGGGAGCAAACAACTCCCAGTGACACCCAGGCGTGTGTCTGCCAGTCCAGCCAACCCAGGGCCCCTGTGCCGCCCCCCAGCCCTGCAGAACCCACCATGTGGTCCAGCTGCTCCACGACACACTCGACGATCTCGGGTCTGCTCTCCAGCAGCTCCGGAGAGAACTTCTCGTTGAGCCAGGCCTGAAAGAAGGCAGGCTGCCAGCGTGAGCGAGGAGCGCCCCTGCCACACGCCGCGCCTCGGGGAGGGCACAAACGCGGCCGCGGCGAGCCCGGGGGCCCGCACATGGCCCGGTCCCGCAGCGCCACCCGCTCCCCAGCGCACGGCACCTGCTCCAGGCTGCGGATCAGCTGTGCCGGGGTGAGCACCAGCTCCTCGCTGCTGCTGCTGCCGCCGTCCGAGTCCGCACCCGCCTCGTCCCCGCCGGGCGCCGCCATCGCCGCCGCCATCGCCGCCCTCACGGCGGCCCCGCCCACCGCCGGCTGCGCACGCGCGGCAGCCTCTTCAGCCAATCAGGAGGCAGATGCAGCGCGCGGCAGCCTCCCCAGCCAATCAGGAGGCAGATGCAGCGCGCGGCTCTCGGCCCGGGCTGACAACTCCCCCCTCCCCAGCCCCCCGGCCCCCGGTGCCCGTGTCCCCCCGTTCCGGGTGCGAACCGTTCCGGGGAGCAGCGGTCCCCGCCCAGGAATCGCCGCCCCCGGAGCCGCGGGAGCTCCCCGGGAACAGCCCCGGCCCCGATCCCGGCCCTGCGCTCACCCCCCGGCACCGCCACACAGACCCGCACTCGGTTTAAGAAAAGGTTTACTGATCAGTACTTCTGCCAATATTGCAACAGCTGTGAAAGGCAAACACTGTTACACAGTTTAGAAAAAACAAGTTTTTATACAATGAAAATATTAAACAAATCTCAAACAAAACCCCACAGTGGCTGAGGAATGAGCCTGGAGTTCCAGATCCAGTATTAGCACCTGCAGCACCACCAAATCAGCCCCTGGGCCCCTGCTCAGTTGTCTCTTCTGAACTCCTGAGTTCCTTCTACAACTGGACACTGACACCCGGCACCTAAACCCAGGCTTTTATCAGGGAAAAGGATGGAAGAGAAAGGATTAAGCCAGCTGGGACTGTGGGCCCTCCATGGTGCTGAGCAATGTCCATGCACGAGGCTGCCAAGGAATGCACAGCTCTGCTCCTGCAGCACCAGGACTGAGAGACCACCTCACACGACACCTAACAGCTCGTCAAAGCCATGTTTTCCTATAATTTATAGATAATAAACCCATAAAGAAACAGTTGTACACTTCACATATTAATCAGAGTAGGGTGGGAGTTGTTATGTTTATTGGCTCAGCATCCACTTTACTGTGCTCTCTGCTCACAGCCCAACAGGCCCCTCCTGGGGAGCACAAGGACCACCAGGGTTCAGGTCTGGCCACTCCTCCCCTTCCAGGGATAACCAACACATCCACACAAGGAGCACTTTGCCCTCTGGTTTCCTACAAGAGGCATTGCCTTGGGTCACTCCTGGCCAGGAAGAGGCACTGTTTATGTCCTCACTTCAGCACTGACCTGGAGGAGAATTCCCCACCCTGAGCTGGAGCTGTGCAGAGCCCGACTGAAGGACAGAGGGCTTTGAGAACCAGGGAGGAGCAGCACTGCACTTATGGGACTAAAGCTAACCCTCTGCTGGGCTGAGGGCCCCGTTTCTTTCAGGGGAGAAAGCAGCTTTACCACTTCTGCTTTTTCTTCAGAAGGAAAAAAAAAATAAACCCCAAAGCCAAAACAAAACTAAAAAGTGATTTCATTGCTTCAAAATCTCCTGTAAAGTGGATGCTGACCAGCTAGGTCACCCCCTGGGGAGCAGTTTGAGGAAGTTAGTCCTTGTAGTAGATGGCACTGTGGATCTGGCAGCAGAGAAAGGAATGATGCTCTAAAGTAGGAGGTAGGGGAACCTTGGTACAGCGAGTCCACCGGTGAGCTGTCGTCTGCAAAAGAAGTTTCACAGGATTAGGAACTCCTCCTAAGTCAAACCCTTCCACAGCTGCAGTTTGCTATCTCGGGAGGAGAGGCAGCAGGAGGAGCCTGAGCAGAACTCAGCACTCTGGATTTTGTTTGTCCAACAGGAAATAAAGACTTTTATTCTGTTTCTTTTTGCATAACAGGCACAAATATTTCCTCCCTCTTTCCTGCACACACTGCCAACAACCCAGACTTTACACCCCCATCCCAGGACCTGCAGAGCACCTAAGACAGGGCAGCCAGTTCCAGTTTGAGCTTTCCAAGGCCAGGGATAGTAATTCTGATGTTCTATATCTCCTCTGAGCGCAGAGAAGAGGCTGGGATTGATCTGGGATCAAGGTAACAGGTACCTGAGACTCCACAGTTTTATCTTCCGCTGGTCAAACCTCTGTCTTCATAAATGGTAATTTCAATCTGCACAGAAAAGCTGTTAGGGAAACACACCATAAAGAGATTATGAAAGCATAACCAAAAAAAGGCAGGAAAACATCAGGATGATGGGACTTTTGACCTCTGCTTCATTCCTGCTGTTTTAAGGGAGGTCTCAGAGCTCCAGAGCAAAGGGAACAGCTCATGTGAGACGCCCTGTCAGGTTGGGTTCCACCACATTTTCAGTGCCTTTCCATCTGCCAAACCTTAATGTACCAAAACCTGAGCAGAGACCAGGACACAACAGAGAGCACCACGACTATCCCAGGGTCTGCTGTGTCACAGGTCAGGCCTGAACAGAGGCGCCACACAGACAAACAGGGAGCACGAGCCAGGAGACAATCTCAGAAGCCACAAAAGGATACAACTCTGAGTCCTCTTTCAATGGGGTCTGTCAGCAGGAGGCCCTGAGGAGCATAGATCTTCTCGTTCTGTTCCTGGATGAACTTGGCAATTTTCTTTAGAACCTGCCAACAGAACAGCACAGGAGTCACAGCTCCTTCCTCAGGCTTCCTTAGTTACGAGTCAGAGCCCCAGCAGTGCCACAGGCATGGAGAACCAGCACACACCTGGTGTGACAGCAAATCCCTGCAGGGCCCAGGGGACTCAGGGACACCCCAAAGGGACCCAAACTGAGGTACCTCCACAAGGAATCTGTCCCACAGCACTGCAGGTCACAGGAAATCCCCACCCCACCCAGGCCCACGTCCCTGCCCGCAGGGGAGGCAAACACACACCTTCTCATAGTGTGTCTCCATGCACAGGAAGATGGTGTAGGCAGTCAGGCAGGCCAGACACCCCTCCAGGTAAGACTGGCCCCCAAGTTTTTCAGCTTCTGCATAGAGGTTGTTCAGGGTCCGGACCGTCTCCTCAAACTGCTGCCTGTCAATCTGCAGGAGAAGCAAGAGGGGCTGTCACAGCCTCCCATACCCTCAGACATCCCCCTCCTCTCCTGGAAGAGCTGCACTGTGCTCAGAGCCCCAGCCTGAAGGACACCCAGTCTCAGGGTGCAGCTCCTGTGCTCGGGCCGGGCCTGGATTGCAGCACAACGTGCACACAGAGCCCCTCAGAGCAGCACACAACACCCCTCAGCCACCGAGAGAGAACCTGAGCCCACAGCCAGCAGAGACAAGCAGGTGGGCAGTGCCTGGACACTCCTGCTGCCCACGGAGCTGGCCAAACACCCCCCAAAAAACCACAACACCCCCAACAACCACAACAAAGGAACGAGGGCGAGGAAAAAGTGGAGCAACAGAAAGAGAAGGGGGCAGGAAGGCGTGTTTGTTTTGCTGTCAGCTGAGGATCTCACACCTGGCAGCACCGAGCGAAGAGAGAGCACTTGAGGCAGCACTTGAGCGGCCTGGGAGCGCGCTCGGCAGGACGGGCAGGATTCCACGGGAGGGGACGGTGCCAGCGCCCGGGGGCACAGAGCCGGCTCTGTTCGCGCAGACACCGCGGGCACACTCTGCTCCCCTGCAGCCAACCCGCCGCCTTCCCGGGACCGAGACACGGGACTGGGCCCGGCACACGGGGGCGGG